TGTGTGTGTGGTGTGTGTGGGGGGGGTGTGGGGTGTGTGTGTTGTGTGTGTGTAGTGTGTGTGTGTTGTGGGGGGGGTGTGTGTGTGTGGTGTGTGTGTTGTGTGTGTGGTGTGTGTGTGGGGGGGGTGTGTCTGTGGGGGGTGTGTGTGTTGTGTGGGTGTGTGTGTGCTGGGGGGGTTTGTATTGTGTGTGTGTTGTGTGTGTGCTGTGTGTGTTTGTTTGGGGGGGGTGTGTTGTGTGTGCTGTGTGTGTTTGTTGTGTGTGTGTGTTGTGGGGGGGGTGTGTGGTGTGTGTGGTGTGTGTGTGTGGTGTTGTGTGTTTGTGGGGGGGGTGTGGGGGGGTGTGTGTATGTGGTTGTGTGTGCTGTGTGTGTGGGGGGGGTGTTGTGTGTGTGTGTTGTGTGTGTTGTGTGTGTGCTGTATGTGGGGGGGGTGTGTGTGTGTTTGTGTTGTGTGTGTGTTGTGTGTGTGTGTTGTGGGGGGGTGTGTGGGGTGTGTGTTGTGTGTGTGTGTTGTGTGTGTGTTTGTGGGGGGGGTGTTGTGTGTGTGGGTGTTGTGTGGGTGTGTGTGGGGTGTGCGGGGGGGGTGTGTGTGTTGTGTGGGTGTGTGTGGGGTGTGTGTGTTGTGTGGGGGGGGGTGTGTGTGCTGTGTGTGTGTGTTGTGTGTGTTGTGTGTGTGGTGGGGGGGGTTGTGTGTGTGGGGTGTGTGTGTTGTGTGTGTGCTGTGTGTGTTGGGGGGGTGTGTTGTGTGTGTGGTGTGTGTGTGGTGTGTGGTGTGTGTGGTGGGGGGTGGTGTTGTGTGTTTGTGTTGTGTGTGTGGGGGGTGTGTGTGTGGGGGGGGGTGCTGTGTGTGTGTTGTGTGGTGTGTGTGTTGTGTGGTGTGTGGGGGGGGGTTGTGTGTGTGTGTTGTGTGTGCTGTGTGTGTTTGTGTTGTGTGGGGGGGGTGTGTGTGTGTGTTGTGTCTGTGGGAGTGTGTGTGTTGTGTGTGGGGGGGGTGTGGGTGTGTGTGTGTTGTGTGTGGGTGTGTGTGTGTGTGGTGTGTGTGTGTGTTGTGTGTGGGGGGGTGTGTGTGTTGTGTGTCCTGTGTGTTTGTGTTGTGTGTGTGTTGTGTGTATGTGTGTGTGGTGTGTGTGTGTTTGTGGGGGGGGTGTGTGTTTTGTGTGTGCTGTGTGTGTGGTGTGTGTGTTGTGTGGGGGGGGTGTTTGTGTTGTGTGTGTGTTGTGTGTACGTGTGTGTGGTGTGTGTGTGTTTGTGTTGTGTGTGTGTGGTGTGTGTGTGTGTTGTGGGGTGGGGGGGTGCTCAAAGGGGCAGGTTCCGGGGGTAATGGGTGGGGGGTCCTCCAGCGGGGGGGCCCCAGCCAGGGCCATCCTGCGCACACACAAGGAGGACGGGGGAGGGGGGGGCCTCCCCGATGCCACTAGGACTCACACTCAGGAGCCAAGGGGCGGGGGGGTTTGCTCTCCGGTGTGCCTCTGACCTCTGACCCGGGGAACGGGGGGGGGGGGAAACTTCAGTCAACAATGGGGCTCCGGCAGAGCTCGTCAGCCCGGGGGGGGTCCCTCTCCCAGGCCCCGCATGGGTGAGCAGTTGCAAGGGGCTGGGGGGGCTTGCGGACCTTCCCTTCAGGCTGGGGTGGGAGGGCAGCGCCCCCTTTTCCAGATAAAGAGCAAACACAGGTGGCTGAGGATCCTGGCTCAGAGCAGGTGAGGGGCAGACGGCATCTCCTGTTGTCACCACACTGACACCCCCCAGGTTGACCTGGGACTCGGGACCCAGTGACCGGTGGCTCGTGCTGCCCACACAGGGGGGGAAGGGTCTCCTTTGGCCCCTGGCCCTGCCCTCAGCCACATGGGGGGGGGGGTTCATCATGGAGGGGCTGCCCTCCAGCCTCCTGGCCCTGGCTAGGGGGGGGCACAGCAGCTTTCTCCAGGTACTTACCTGCCTGAGTCCCAGCCCGGGGGGGACCCTCCTGTGTCCGGGCACTCAGCCTAGGGTGATGGTGGACCTGGGGGGGAGGATCGTAAAGAGCTGGACGGACAGCATCCCTTCCCCCACAGAGGGGGGGACCAGCCCCTCCTTGAAGTGGGCCCTTGGAAGCCCCTTAAGAAGGGGGGGGCCACACTGCAGGTCAGGAAGCAGGCACAGCAGAGCCCAGGGCACCCCCGCAGGAAGCGGGAGCAGGGCCTCCAGCACAGGCCCCGGGGTCAGCCGCCAACTCCGAAGCCCGGGCTGGGCGGCTGCTCTGTGCACCGGTTTCGGCGTGGGGGGGTCTCAGGGCTGGCTTGAGGTGACTTGGCACCCCCTCCTTCCCTCGGGGGGGTAAGGTCCTCCGCCCCCGAGCCCCCAAGTCCACCGTCCAGGGTGGGGGGGGAAACCCAGAGTCTCCGACCCTCGCCCGCACAGCTCTTTCGAGGCGGGGGGGATCTCGGTCCAAGCCTGGCCCTGGTCGCCTCGCACTGCCCACCGGGGGGGGCTGGGCACCCTGAGGTCCTTAGAAAGCGCCAGCTCCTCCCGCCCGGGGGGGCAGCCAGCGCCCTCGGTGCGCGGCCGCCCCTGCCCGGTGGGTTCGGGGGGGAGCACCCAGCAGCCTGCGGGTGACTCCCGCTCAGCTCGGACGCGGGGGGGGTCCGCTCCCCGCGCGCGCTGGGCCCCCTGCGCCGGTCCTGAATCAGGAACGTGGGCAACAGGCCGAGGGGCTCCGTTTCGCTCCCCTACCTAGTGCCCACATGCGCCCTGGGCACCCTCCAGGTGCGGAGGGCGGAGGACTGGGACGCGCGCGGGGGGCGGGCACGGGGGTGCGGCTCGGGGCGCTCGTCCCGGGCAGAGGCGCGCGGATGGCGGAAGCTCCACCCGGCGCCCGGCGAGCTCGGGCCCCAGCCTGACTCTTGGTCCGCCCTGGGCGCCTCAGGAAGCCTCGAGCTGGGATCCCGGCTTGGGGGACCGAGGTGGGATCCCCGCGAGCCTCGGCGCTCCTCGCCACGCTCTGTTCTGCGCCGAGGGTCACCAAAAAGCCACTGACCACGTCCGGCAGAGGAAAGGGCGGCCCCCGCCCCCTTCGCCCACTTTCCTCCCTTCCCCGGGGGGGGGAAGGGGCCAGGACGCGGGCAAGCTCGGGCTTCCGGGCGACGCGGGGGGGTCCCCGGCCCCGAGCCACTTCCTGAGAGACCGCGCCCAGGGACCAGCAGCGCCCCGGGCCCCCGATTCCAGGCCTGCAGCGGCTCTGGGAGGACAGGGGGGGCCACTCACCTTCGCGGGTCTGATCGCGACCGCCACTCACCTGCTGGGGGGGCTTGGGCTCGCGCGGGGCGGGGGCGGGGCAGCTCACCTGAGCCAGGGGGGGAGCGACAACAGTCCCGGCGGCGGCAGCAGGTGCGGCCCCGCCCCGGGGGGGGGGCGGGGTCGGACCCCAGCGTCCCGCTCTGCGCCGGAGGCTGGGGGGGGGGGCTGCGCTGCTGCCCGGGAGCCGCTGCCAGTGGCCAAACCAGCCCAGCCAGCCTGCAGAGCCCCGGAGCCCCAGAGCCTTGGGGACTCTTTGGAGGGGGGGCCACCCGCAGGGTTCTGCGCGCCCGCCCCTACCTCTTCCCTTTCGGGGGGGAAGCCTGTCTTGACCCCCACCTCACCCCCAAGTGACCCTGATGTGGGGGGGTGCTACCCTCAACACCCCAGGTGCAGGGAGGAGAGGACTCCCATAGGCGCCCCTCCCTTGGAAGCCCATGGAAAACCGGAGAAGGGACAGGTGGCCTGCGGCGCCCTCACCTGGTTCCAAACCTTCCACACTCTGGGTCTCAGTTTGGGGGGGAGCCCTGAGGGCAGATATAATCCACCCGGGACCCAGCCAGGCCAGGGGGGGAAGACAGACAGGTTTAACTTTATTACAGAAGCCGCTGCTGGCTGAAGGGAACAGGCCAGCAAGGTGGGCTCAGGCTACCCCCAACAGCCAGGATGGGGGGGGGGCCGGATCTGGCGCCCAGAAGTCAGAGGGAGGCCCAGGAAACTGGGGGGGGTTTTCCTGCCTTGTGGCTGCCTGAAGAGCCCCCTACTCCCAGTGGGGGGGGTGCCCGGAATCACCCAGAGTTCAAGTCAGGTCTGTGCCAAGCCGGGGGGGCCCCACAAAGACGGAGCAGGCGGAACAGGCCGGCGGCTCCCAGATGCCCTGAACATACAGGGGACTCCTGTGGCCCCCCATAGGCATGGCCTTCTGGGGGGGCCCCTCAACACGCATAGCGGTGAGCTGGTGGGAGGTGCTGGTGGGGGGGGGGTCTCAGCTCCTAGTGGCCTCTAGACGGGCTCTGGCCCTACACGGGGGGGGTCCTGGCACTGAAGATGGAGGTTGGGGTGGCATGGGTGGGCATCGGGGGCTGAGAGCCTGCCCCCACCCCGCCCAGCCTCTGCCTTCCATGCCACGGGGGGGCACGCAGCCTCTGGTACTTCACCTCCAGAACCTTGTTCTTCACTGGGGGGGGGACGTCGGGCACGAACCAGGCCGCAATGAGCTTGATGCACAAAGGGGGGGGCTAGGGGCAGCACAGGAGAGGTCCGGCAGGATCAGGCGCCAGCGGGGGGGTGGGGGTTCCGGGCCGGGGAGGAAGGCTGGAGAGAGAACTGCCCGGGGGGGCTCCAAGGCCGCTCCCAGTTCTGGCTCACCTCAAAGAGGATGACGAAGGCCAGGCGGATGGCCAGGAGGAACCAGAACTGCTCGGAGAAGTTGTAGGGGGGGGGATTGCGGTAGTCCCTGTATCTGGGGTAAGGAAGTACTTGAGGGGGGGGGTCAGGAGTTCAGAGGGCATTCTTGGGGGATGGGGAGTTCCAAACGGGGGGGGAGTCACATTTTCTGAGCCCTCAATCCTATCCGGGTCCTGGAAGGGGGGGGTGTGGAAGACGGACAGGCTGTGGTTGACGTAGCCCTTGAGGCAGGGGGGGGGAGGGGAGAAGAGTGTGGAGTGGGATGTCTTCCAGGGCGGCCCCGGGGGGGCCCAGGGTGCTTCTAGCTTGTGTTATGGAGCAAACAGTGAGGTGGGGGGGGCACCACAGACTGCCTACAGTGGAATGGGGCTCCCAGGCCAAGCAGGGGGGGACATCTAGGGGTTTGGGGGTGCTGTGGGGACTCTGGACATCACCGGGGGGGTTCCCTGCCAGGGACTGACCCTGGGGACCCAGTCTGGCTTGGTGGGGGGGGCAGGTCAGAGAGCTGGATAAATCAGAAGAGGACATGCAGAACCTCACATCGGGAGGGAGCCGTTCTGGCAGGGCCTGCTCAGGAGGCAGCCAGGTCTGGGAACTTCACCCCCAACTGCAGTCCTAGCCAGTCATCCCTGACCTCCAGGGGGGGGCCTGCAGTCAGTGGGCACAGGGCAGGGGCCACCCCCAGGCCCCGGGGGGGTTAAAGCCCCAGGAGGTATTGACAGATCCGTTCCCAGGAGAGACGGGGGGGCTTTCCCCAGGGCTTGGCTGTCGTGGGGCCAGTTTCCCCTCAGGGGGGGGGGACACTGTGAGGCCTTACTCGACAGTGGAGTTGGCTTCTTTCAGGGGGGGGCTATAGCGGTACTTGTAGATCATGCGGGGGATGAACTCAGATGTGGGGGGGATGACCAACCCGTTGGCAATGACCGCCAGCACACCGATGGTCTCGGGGGGGTGCAGCCAGGTCCCTGCGCCAGAGCAGTGGACAAGCGGTCTGACGGGGGGGCCTCGGCTGGTTCTGCCCCCAGAGCAGTGGACAAGCGGTCTGACGGGGGGGCCTCGGCTCGTTCTGCCCCCCACCCCCGGCCAACGACAGGCCTGGGGGGGGTCTGTGCATGGTGTCCCATTGCAGCCCTAGGGCCACAGTATTCAGGGGGGGGTCCCCAGCCATGGCAGAGCATGGCCTCAGCGCTCCTGCACCCCGGGGGGGGACGTGGACAGGGAGGGACCCAGGACCCTCATCCCTCCATCTTCGGGGGGGTCTCCCCCAAGCCACTCCACCTCGTGGGTTCCCACCCCAGGGTAGGGGGGGGTAACCTGGGCCCCAAGACTGGGGGCCTCCCTAACACCTCTCTCGGGGGGGCCACATCCAGCGCCCCAGCCCCTGTGGCTCCCCTGCTGCCTGTCCATCTCCACGTGACCAGTCTTGGGACACAGGCCGGCTGCTCTGTTCCTGCCCCAGCCACTGGCAGAACCTGGGTCCCGCTTGGGGACGTCAAGCCCCTCCGTGGGGGGGTGAAGGTTTGTGGGAGGGGCCTACAAAGCACCCCGCCCCGCCCAGGGGGGGACCCTCCCACCCAGGCTCAGCCCACATCCGAGGCCGAGGCCGTTGGGGGGGGGCTGGGGGCTGTCTGCGGTGTGAGATCACAGATTATGTCCAGCGGGGGGGGCGTGGCCAGCGGGACGCCCACAGGCCTCAGGCCGCCCGGTTCCGGGGGGGCCTGCACCCGCGGGGCCTGACCGATGTCATTGGCCTTGCGCGGCACCAGGCGCCGCTGCAGCCAGACCATCTTGATGGCGTCGAGGCGGATCTCCGGGGGGGTGCTGAAGAGCGCGAGCAGCGGCGCCAGCGGGAAGGCGGCCACGAAGATGGTGGTGAAGCCGTACTGGATCACTGCGGGGCGGGGGTCAGGCTCGCCGGCGCCCCGCGCTCATGGCCGTGGACCCCCGCCCCGCATTAGTCTCGCGGGGGGGGGCCCCGCAGCGCCCACGCACTCATCTCCATGAACTCGTCGAACAGGGGGGGGATGTTGACAGAGTTCAGAAGGTAGTTGCGCCGCCAGTCCCTGAGGGGGGGGTCCCGGGGCAGGTGCCCGGCCTTGGAGGCCCGCAGAGAGCGGAGGGGGGGGGTCACCCACCTGCGGGAAGAGCTGCGTGGCGGGGAGGGCGCAGGGGGGGGGGGGTCGGCGGCTCCCGGGGCTGGGCGGGGTCGGCACTCACGGGGGGGGGGACTCCGCGCAGTTGCTGAGTGTCTGCTTCAGGCCCATGATGATGGGGGGGGGCACGAACAGGTCCATCATGCAGCCGCTGGCGTGGCACTGCGGGGGGGGGGAGGAGGGGTCAGGGAGGGGTCCTGAGGGAGGGTCGGGGGGCAGGGGGGGGGTGCAGCTGCTGAGGTGGCACTGCAGGGCCAGACGGGGGAGGAGAGGGGGGGGGGGTCCTGGGGGACGGTCAGGGGAGCAGTGACTTGAAGCCTGGGGGGGGGTGACCTCTTCCAGTTTCCACAAGCCTGCCAGGCGCGTGGACTTCGGGGGGGGGCCGTTGATCCTGGGGGGGAAGGGGAGGTCTGGGGCACTGCAGGCCTGCCTCGGACAGGGTGGGTGCAGCAGGACAGAAGCAGGGAGGAAAGAAGGGGGGGGGCAGGCCCTGCAGGTGAGCGGGGCACAAGTGCTCACATCCAGGGGGGGGGCACCCACACGTGGACGCGCACACACATACACACAGGGGAGGCCAGGGGGGGCCAGATGAACCGCACCCGCATGTGGGCGCGCGCACGCGCGCACAGGGGGGGACACACAGGGGAGGCCACAGGCTCCCAAATGAACTGCACCTGCAGGGGGGGGCACACACACACACACACACAGACACACACAGGGGAGGCCACAGGGGGGGGGACAAACCGCACCTGCACGTGGGCGCGCGCGCACACACACACACGGGGGGGGGCGAGGCCACGGGCTCTAACAGGTGCTCCAGTGTCTGTTACAGGTCGCCTCAGTTTCTCCCCATGGAAATGGCACATTGGGTTATTTTGTGTTTGGGGGGGCTTGCTTTCCATAATATGAGAAATATATGAACTATCTTAAACCAGGGGGGGGGCTCGTGGTCAGTGGTGAAATCCAAAAGCATTCCTATTGTAGCGGGGGGGAACCGGTATTTAACACGGTTCTGGAATTCCTTGCAAATCAGCAAGGGGGGGATAAAGTATAAATAGTATACATTTGCTAAGGAAACAATGGCTCTGGGGGGGAAACATGATTATATACCTGGAAAATCAAAATAAAACAACTGAAAGGGGGGGTGGATAAATCAATCGGGTGCTCAAGTGGATACAAAGTGAGGATCCGGCAGCACTGGCTTGTCTGTGTGGGAAAAAGCTGCAGGGAAACGTGGCGTGAGAAGGCATCGGTCGCCTGCAGACACCAGCACCAGTTATACCATAACGAGGGGGGGGTACTAAGGAGCATGAAAGACTTGCGTGGAGAACCTTGTTCTTCCATAAGAAAACGCAGGAGGTATTTGTAGTCAGAGCGAGGGGCCACAAAGATGGGGGGGGGCTCATTCTTGGAGCCTGTGACCACGTTCTTACCTGGCAAAGGAGGGGGGGCTCACATGGCAGATGGGATTAAGGCTGCGAATCAGCTGGCTTTAGGGGGGGGAGATTATCTCGGGTTATCTGGTTTTCCCGGTGTAATCACAAGGGGGGGGGCATGGGGACAGGGAGCAGCTGGGAGCTGGCCTGACTCAGAAGGACTCAGGACCCAGAAGGACTCAGCCCCACACTACAGGCTCTGCAGGGGGAGGAGCAGCCATGCACCAAGGAGAAGTTGAAAATGAAATCTCCCCTGGGGCCTCGGGGGGGAGCCCAGCCCTGCTAACCCCTTGGTTTTCACCTGGTGGGACTCATCTGCGACTTGTGGCCTGCAGAACTGGGAGGTAATAATTTGACTGTTTGAAGGGGGGGAGCTGTGGTCATTTGTTATGGTAATTTTCTTGGAAATAATGTATGGGGGGGCTTCTACAATCTTAAGACAAGTCCCACGGTCCCACAGAATTTTTGGGGGGGTTTTTTTTTTTTTTTTTTGAGACAGTCTTGCTCTGTCGCCCAGGGGGGGGGGCAATGGCGCGATCTCGGCTCACTGCAACCTCCGCCTCCCGGGTGGGGGGGATTATCCTGCCTTAACCTCCTGATTAGCTGGGATTATAGGCGTGGGGGGGGACGTCCAGCTAATTTTTGTATGTTTAGTAGAGACGGGGTTTCACGGGGGGGGCCAGGTTAGTCTCAAACTCCTGACCTCATGATCCGTCCACTTCGGGGGGGCAAAGTGCTGGGATTACAGGTGTGAGCCACCGTGCCCAGCCGGTGGGGGGGAATTTTTAGGTAATTTGACAAAATGATTCTGACATTCATCTGAAGGGGGGGACATACGTAAATAACCATTAAAAAAGTAGAAAAGAAGAGTGATGGGGGGGGGCTAGCCCCACCCTACAGTAAGGCATAAAGCAAGAATACCCAACACGGCAAGGGGCTAGCCCTGGAGTTGTCAGAATCCATGAAAAGACAATATAGGGGGGGAGAATGGAATTTGGTGTATGATGAAGAAGGCATTTCAAACAGGCGGGGGGGATTTCAAACAGGCTTCCCTCATTTCAAACAGGCTTCCCTCCTCTGGGGGGGGCAGCAAAACAAATTCCTTACAAGTCAGGGATTTGAACGTTTAAGGGGGGGGTTGTTGTTGTTGTTTTTTTTTTTTTTTTGAGCCACCATGCCCGGGGGGGGACCAATATTTTTTTAAAGGCACATTTAAAAAATGAAAAGACTTTGGGGGGGGGCTCAGGATGGAACATTTCGCACACTGTGGGTGACTTTGTTGCGGGGGGGGCCTTTCTGGAGATCTCTTTAGCAGGATCTATGTTAATGTAAACGCACACTCCCAAGTCACAATTAAACTGGCGACTGCAGGACGGAGGCTCACAGGGGGGGTCTCAGCACGTGGGGAGGCCGAGGCAGGTGGATTGCTTGAACCCGGGGGGGCGAGACCAGCCTGGGCAACATGACAAAACCCCGTCTCTACAAAAGGGGGGGAAAATTAGCCAGGCATGGTGGCACATGCCTGTAGTCCCAGCTATGGGGGGGGCTGAGGCAGGGGGATCACTTGAACCAGGAGTTTGAGGCTGTAGTGATTGTACCACTGTACTCCAGCCTGGGGCAATGGATCAAGATACTGTCTCGGGGGGGAAATAAATAAAATAAAATGACAGGCTGCTGACACCCACTATCAGGTATCACCTTACAGGTAGAAGGGAACTGGAGAGGCCTGCAGTCCACTCAAGACATCAGGCTTTCAGGGGAGATACTCAGGAAGCAATCCAGCGCTGCCGGGAGGGGGGGGAAGCCTCAGGACTTGGCGATCCTGGTGGCTTGGGGGCACTGAGGGGGGGGATGCAGCCGCAGCTGGAAGGTCCCTGGGCCTCCTACCTGACCACGGGGGGGCCTCAGGAGGACTAGAAGCTCACTAGGGTTTTCAACAACCAAGGGGGGGGGACACAGGGTTGGACCAATTGACACTGAGGCGCCACAGTGTCCTCGGGGGGGCCAGCCCCAGCCCCAGCACGTAGACAGCGTCCTCCTGCCTGCAGGGGGGGGACCAGGGTTCAGCCCCAGGAACTTCCAGAGTGAGAGGTCCACCAGGAGATACATGGCCCACAGCAAGCCATGGTGCACGCCTTTCCCAAGACAGAGGGGGGGCGAGAACCAGCATCTACAGGGCCAGGCGTGGTGGCTGACACCTGGGGGGGGAGCACTTAGGGAGGCCAAGGCAGGTGGGTCACCTGAGGTCAGGAGGGGGGGACCAGCCTGGCCAACACGGTGAAACTCCATCTCTACAAAAAATAGGGGGGGTAGCCAGGCGTGGTGGCGGGCGTCTGTGATCTCAGCTACTCAGGGGGGGGGGGCAGGAGAATTGCTTGAACCCAGGAAGCAGAGGTTGCAGTGAGGGGGGGGCGCGCCACTGCATTCCAGCCTGGGTGACAGAGTGAGACTCCATCGGGGGGGAAAAAAAGTACAGCTGCAGCCAGCATCCCTCTCATCTCACCTTCGGGGGGGGTGAAATGAACCTTTCTGGCTCCACAATCAATGTGCACCTTTTTGGGGGGGGGTGCAGTGGCTCACGCCTGAAATCCTAACACCGAGCCTGAGGCGGGGGGGTCGCTTGAGCCCAGGAATTCCAGACCAGCCTGGGTAACACGGTGGGGGGGGATTTCAACAAAAATTATTAAAATTAGCTGGGTGTGGTGGTGCACGGGGGGGATCCCAGCTACTCATGAGACCCAGGAGGTCAAGACTGCCATACAGTCAGCCAACATTGTGCCACTGGACACAGGCCTGGCGGCAGCGAGACCCTGTCTCTCTCATGTATATGAGGGTGCGTGGACAGGCAGACCCAGGAAGACACCGGGGGGGTTTCCAGCATAAAGAGCAGGTGCCGTTATTCCCAGGACAAGCCGGGGGGGGCAGTGCTGTTACGTGCCTGCAAATGCATGAAGCAGCCTGGGAGGGGGGGGGACTGTCTTGATGGACCTCAGGGCCTGGAATTTATGAACTGGGCTCACTGCAGGCTTTGTTCACGTGTCTCTAGGTTGGATTTCCACTGGCTCTCAGGGGGGGTTATTTTTAAAATTAAAAGAATGGATATTGCCACTTTAAAGGCGGGGGGGGAAGCCCTCGTGAGTTGGGTTGGAGGCAGCCTGGCATCAGCCCTAGGGGGGGAGGATGAAGGCGATATAGATGAGAGACGAGAAATGGGTGAAGAAGGGGGGGGTGAAGAAGCGGATGGTGAACCTGCTCTCTCGCTCCGAGTGGGTGGGGGGGATCTCTGGAACGGAACGGGCCCTTACCTCTCTCCCTGCTCATGGCAGAGGCCCTGGGGCAGCAGGAAGGGCCCCCTCCCTTGCTCTCTGACCACAGCTCCAAGGCCCAGCCCTGAGTCCTCCCGCCGGGTCCCCCAAGAGGGCCTGGGGGGGGCCTCTCACCGAAGTCACAAAGCTTCAGGGCCACGTACTTGTTGAGGGGGGGAGGAGGGCACCGAATGGGCTCACTGGGGCCACAGCAGACCCCCCGGGGGGGGCCTGCCCTGCTCCCGGCCTCACCTTGGTCATGATGCTGATGGTGGGGGGGTGCACCAGGGCTCCGGTCACCACCACTGCCGTGGTCACCTGATCGGGGGGGAAGGGCAGGGCCGAGCTGCTGAAGAGTGCAGAGGCCAGGACGCGGTAGACCACCAGGATGTGGGCCATGCCGATCATGAGGCAGATCTGCGGGACGGGGGGGGTGGGTGGGGGCCAGGGTGGGTGCGCAGCCCGAGTCTCCAGCCCGGGGGGGGTGTCCCCCGAATACCATGATCAGGGACAGGATGAGGATGACGGGGGGGGGCAGGTAGGAGTGCTGGTGTGGCCGGAGCTTGTAGTCAGGGCAGTGGGGGGGCTGAAGTGCCATTTCCTCCTGGGGAGAGCACCAGACAAGCCTCAGGGGGGGGACACGCCTCACAGGTGGACAGACGGGACACACGCTCCACACATGGGGGGGCAGGCACAGGGACATCCCTCACAGGTGGACAGACGGGACACACGGGGGGGGCGTGGGGACACAGACACAGGGACACGCCTCACGGGACAGATAGGGGGGGGGCCCCACACGTGGGGACACGGGCACAGAGACACGCCTCACAGGGGGGGGGGGGGACACACGTCCCACACGTGGGGAGATGGACACGGGGACACGCCGGGGGGGTGAACAGACAGGACACACGCCCCACACGTGGAGAGACAGACACGGGGGGGGCGCCTCAAACACGACAGGCATATGTAGGCCATGCAGGGCACCAGGCGCCCACAGCCTGTGCCCAGGTCCGCCTCAGCTGTGCTGCCAGCTCCACCTCACCTGGTCTTCGTCCCACGTGTACAGGTCCCAGTGCAGGACCACGCGGGGGGGGGGCCGCTTCCAGATCTCCAGGAACACCGTGGCTGTGGCGGGGGCAAGGGGGGGCATCACTGCGCTGCGCCGGGTGGACCTTGGAGCTCAGGCTGGCACTTCCCCCGGCCCCGCAGCGGCGTCCCGCAGCAACTCACCCCAGAGAGCCAGGGGGGGGGCGAACACCACCGTGCCGTCATTGTCAAAGAGGTGAGTGAGCTGGGGGGGTGATGGGTGGGCCGGAGAGG